CGTTCGGTGGAGAAAAAGGGGAGAAATTTATCTCTCTCTGATGGTCTCTCTCACTCTCTCTTTAAAAAAAAAAAAAAAAAAAAAAAAAAAAAAAAAGAAAGCGCTCCCAAGTCCATAAAGAGAGACAAATGGTAAACAAAACCTCCTATCTTTTGAAAGATTCCAGGACGAGTATCATTCACAAACCGTTCGGTGGAGAAAAAGGGGAGAAATTTATCTCATCTGACTTTGTATAGGACAACGGCCTGCACCATAATGAGGCCGTGCCCGTGCTGTGAAATTGCACTGAATAGCCGGAGAGTGCACAGGCCTGTCCCCTGGGCATGTTTATTACGGCCCTTTGTACGCACCAACCCTGCCAGCCCCACTCTGCTTCTCAACGAGGGGAGGGGAGAAAAGAACCCAACAAATTTGTTGCTATGAAACTTCCCAAATGGGGGAACTGCATAATAACGTGTGGAATCAAATGCCCTGGCTCCAAGCTGTTCTTGTCGGGGTCCACCCCTGCTCTACAGTGAACAAGGTCCCGCGTCAGCCAATCACCAGCCCAGTAGATGGGTGGCCTTGGCCCCCTCCTGGGCCCCTCTTGGGCCCAGAGAAGTCAGGGATAAAGAGGGCCCCCAAGGCCATTCCCAAGCCAACTTGGGAGTCCAGAGCCAGTTGTCCCAATTCCCCTGTGAAATTCATTTGAATCAAAGTGAAGAAGTGTGGCCTTCACTTGAGGGTTCCCTGAGGTCAATCTCAAGAGAACGGGGGGGCTGAGGCCAGTGTCACACACACCTACAAGGTTTGGATGCCTGTGACAGCAAACTGTCAAAATGCTGGAGGTCAGTGGGCTTCCTCCCATGAAAGGAAGCATTTCTTCAATCATGTGGCCCTCAGAAAGCAAGGCAGAAGACCCCCGTGGAGGTGGCCGTGGTGGTGATGGAAGAAGAGAAGATATTGACCGAGAGACCCTGTGTGAACATCTCGGGGGTACACACAGGCCCCCAAGCATCTTAACTTCTCCTAAAGCTGGTTCCTGCCAAGATCTCTGAGTCTCTTTGTGGTGGGAGATGTCCCTTGGAGGAATTGAAGATTTAAAGTTCCCAAATACCCTAAAAGGATGACATTAGGAAGAGAATAGGGGACAGATGTGGAACTTTCAAGAGCTGTCTTTCTTCATTAGGTTGTTGGAAATTTCTGGTCACATTTCTGCTCCTTAATCAGACAGGAGATTTTTTTTTTTCTCACCAATCAAGAAGGAGGATCCTTTGGGCTATCCTTTTCCTCACCAATCCGGAGGCAGGAACCTTGAAGCATTATCTTTCCTCACCAATCAGGCGGCAGGTTCCTTGAAGCATTGTCTTTCTTCCCCAATCAGGTGGCAGGTTCCTTGAAGCATTGTCTTTCCTCACCAATCAGGTGGCAGGTTCCTTGAAGCATTGTCTTTCCTCACCAATCAGACGGCAGGTTCCTTGAAGCATTGTCTTTCTTCTCCAATCAAGACACTGAGAGTCTTGAAACTCTGCCTCATTTTCTCAGCAGGATGTAATTGTCTTCTCCCAGGAATTCTTCTCCCAGAGTTCCCATCAAGACCAGGGCAGCTGCTGTCCAGGACTGAAAATGCAGACGGCCACCTAGCTGGCCCTACCTTTTTAAATCATGGAACAGGGACAGCCCCTCATCTGCCTGCCTCTGTTCCTCCCTAGAAACCAGCAAAGGAAGCTGAGCATTGGTGGCCCTTCCACCAGAGAGGCAGACCCTGGAGAATGAACCTGAACCTTGTGGCTTCCTGGCATCTCTCGCTCTGAGCAGTAAGAGGAGAAAAAATGTCATGGCCATTGTCCCTACCCTTGGCAACCGAGGGAAAGGTGGAGATGACCAAGCCTCTTTCCTTCCTGCATCTCCAGAGAACAGGCATTTTTGTCCTAACAGCAGAAAACAGCAGGCCAGGATAGGAGCAGCGCTCCCTTTCCCTGGGCACAGGGCTGCCCACCTAAGTGGCTGCTATGGGTTAAAACTTCTTGGCTGAATCTCCAAGAAATCTATGTGTCAGCCAGCTGTTTACAAGACCCCTGACCTCAATTTCTTCTGTAAAAATGAGACAACAAACACTGGGCACAGGCAAAGGAGCTGGATGCCTTCCAACTCTGCACTCAGAAAACCCACAGCCATCTCTCCCTGGTCTTGCCCTGATCATACCTTCCTGACACTGCAGATCTTTTCTAGGGTCCCTTTGCCTGGGCCACCTTCCCTTTTCCAAGTCTCCTGGAGGATGCTTACCTGAAATCCTTGTCTTTTTTGATATGGAAACAGCCCAGCTATCTTTCTGCTCCATTTTCTTCTGGCAATCACCAGAGGCCGATAAGTCCACAGATCTGGAGATAGCATGCTTCATCTTGGAAGCTACCCTTACTCATCTATGTGCATTTGGAATCAAAGGGCTCTCTCCTGGAGGAGACAAACTGGGAACCTGGGGAGGTTTCTGTTTTTTAAAAGAGGGTTCTGCACAAACAGCGCTGGCTTCATGCTCAGAAAGATGCATGCTTTGTCAAGCTCTCTGCCGCTGTTTCGAAAGCCTCAATTGTTTTTGAGTAAGGGGCCCCGTATTTTCACTTTGCTCTGGGCCCTGCAAATTATGTAGTCAGTTCTGCACACAAGTGCCCAACATCTGGTGGATTTCCTGTGATGAAGATGATACTTCATTCAAAGGCTGAAACCCAGAAGGGTTTCTGCACTGAACTCACGTCTGCCATGGCTTGGGGACCTTCTGTCAGGGTCTACACAAGCCCATGTCAGGACCCCGTGTTTGCTGAGCTGTTGGCTGGAGCTCTCGGAGGTAAACGTCTTCCTGAAAAGCCATGCTCCGGCCTGGCCCTGGGCCCCATCTTTGGGAGCAAAAGAACCCTGGTTCCTGGAATTCCCAAAAGCTAGCATGGGGGGAGGGTACTTCTCACCCTCCAACATCACTCAGTTCCCTGGCATTTCATCAGCTTCTCTGAGTCATCTGACCATTGCCTCATTTTTGTTGGTGGGAGAAAAACAAACAGCAGAAAGTTAAAACGTTAGTGCTTGCTTCAGTGAGCGAAAATAGAGTCTCCGGTCTCTCTCTCTCTCTCCCTCTCTCTCTTTTTTTTTTTTGTCCTGAGAAGTAAAGCTATTTGCAAATGGATTAAATGTTCCTTCTGAGACCCTGATCCTGAAACTGCGACCTCGCTGCAACTGTGCGTGTCTATGTGTGTGTGTGACAGGGGGTGGGGGCCCATTCGCACACATCCAAAGAACTGCGTCTGCGTGGGTTTGGGAAAAGAGGGTCCTTTGTCCCGAAGGTAAGCCTGGCGAACATGACTCGAGTCCCTGTGGTATGCAGCACACCTGTGCAGAGGAGAAGCTCAGGAGGGGGAGGCGTCAGCGGGCCAGCCCTGCACCCTCTTAGGGGATCACACCTTCTCCTTTCTTCTCCTTTGAGCCATGTCTCCATCGCCCCTTTGTTTTGGCTTACACCTTCAAATACCAGGGAGGCTCTGTGAGTGTGTGTGTGTGTGTGTGTGTGTGTGTGTGTGTGATGACCTCAGTCTACACTCCTCTGTATGGAAACTAGAAAAAAAGAAATAGCAAAGGAGAAAGAAAGGAAAGAGGTCAAGTTCTGTCCCACCCACCCCCCTTCAAGCGCAGCTTACCTTTGCAGGCCTTCCGGTGGGTGATGGGCTTACCCATGTCACGGTAGTAGCCCTCTTTGCAGTAGTGGCAATGGCGGCCAGCGGTGTTGTGACGACAGTTCAGGCAGACGCCCCCGCTCTTGCGTCCGGACAGCTTGTAGAGCTCCATGTTGAAGCGGCAGCGCCGGGCATGCAGGTTGCAGTTACAGGCTGCAGGAAAGACAGGCAGAGACTGTGAGCCAACAAGGGTGCTACGGAGACAGACATCAAGGGGACCCAGAGAGACTCTGTTCCCACCTCCCCCCTTCATCTTCACTGCTGATCTTGGGAGGCAGTGGCTCGCCCCGGGAGCTCTTCGAGGGCTTTCTTTGTTTGCACCCGTCAATATGATTGAACATCTCAGGGTACCAGGGCTGAGGCTCCCACTAAATTCTTGTGTCGAAGTCTTAACTCCAAGTACCTCCAAGTTTCACTATGTTTGAAGACAGGGACTTTAAAGAGGTGAATGAATTAAAATGAGGCCCTTAGGTGGGGCCCTACTCCAAGGTGTTCCTATAAGAAGAGGGAATTTCTCTCTTGAGAGACTCAAGAGGTGTATGTGCACAAAGGAAGGACCAGCTGAGATGCACGGTGGTGCACAAACTGTAATCCCAGCAACTCTGCAGGCTGAGGCAGGAGGATCACGAGTTCTAGGCCAGCCTGGGTAACTTAGCAAGACCCTGTCTCAAAATAAAAAGGCTAAGGATGTAATTCAGTAGGAGAGTGTCCCTGGGTTCAAGCCCCAGTACCAGGAAAAAAAAAAAAATTTTTTTTTTAAAGAATAGGCAAGGACATGTGAGCAGGCAGCCACCTGCAAGCCAAGGGGAGAGGCCTTAGGTGAAACCAACCTTGACCTTGGACTTCCGGCCTCCAGAACTGGGAAGAAAAAATGTGTTTAAACCCCACAGTCTGAGCACACTCATACACTGCTTCTACGCCACCAGGCTCCCATTCCCTAGAGGACCCCAGGGCCCAGTGCCCCGTCTTCCCTCCCACCATCAACCCAGAGGGCTTCCCATCTTGTAGAGGCCTGACCATCCCTGGGCTTGGGATCCCCTGCAGAGGACCCTTGGCTTGGTTCTCTTTGGCTTCCTCCCAGCCAGGCTTGCTTCCCTCCACCTCCTCCTTACACACAACTCAGGACTTGGCACCCTTCCCCCGCCAGCCCTGATGCCCTCTGAGACCATCTTCTGCCCCCCTAACCATGTCTGTGCTCCTGACTTAAAAACGGATATTCCCAGCTTGAAGCCTGGGGTCTCCACTTGGATGTAATAGCACCTCCCTCGTTCACTCCTCTCCACACTGACCTCCCACCGCCCTGTTGTCTGAGCCGAGGGCTCTGGGCCACTTTTACCACCGTACAGTCAGTCAATCATCCCTCCAGATCTGCAGGATCTATAACCCCGGATTCCACAAGTTATAGATCCAAAATATTAAGGGGGGGAAACAGCATCTGTACTGAACGTGTACCGACTTTACATGTTTATTTTTAATAATGAAATTATTATTTCATTATTTTTATAATTATTTCATGATTCCCTAAACAATACAACAACTATTTACAAAGAAGAGACTATTTACACACGAAGAGACTCGAGAGGTGTATGTGCGCAACGGAGGGACCAGCTAGCCGCGCGGTGGGGCACAAACTGTGATCCCAGCAACTCAGCAGGCTGAGGCAGGGGGATCATGTGTTCGAGGCCCGCTGTTTGGTATGATAAGTCATCCAGGGATGATTGAAAGTATACAGGAAGATACGTATAGGTTCTAGGTAGACACTTCATTTAAGGCACTTGAGCATCTGTGGATGTTGGTTTCCACATCAGGGATTCCCTGTGGCTACCCAGGGACAACTGTCACCAGAGCAGGAATTCCTAAGCTCCAATCTGAGGATGTCCATCAGGATCAAGTTGAAATCACTTATCATGGCCTTCAAGGGCTCTGAATCAGCCAGTCCTGCCTCCCGTCCAGCTGCAGCTCTGCTCACCCGCCCCCTCCCTCTTCCTGCTTCAGTTGGGCTCAACTTTGGTCAGTTTCCAGAGTGAGCCATGTGCGAGGACTCCCCATCTGTCCCCTCCTGGCCTGCAGGTGCTGCTCCTTTCCTCCTTGGACACCCCCTCTTTGTCTGAATGCATCCTTCTCATATTCCAGGTGTCTCATGACTTCAAGGTCATTTCCAGGCCCATCTCCACTGCCCCTCCTCAGCCTGGTCCAGGCACCAGCATGGCTCCCATAGAGCCCTCCCCCCTGGCCCCACCCCCGCTGTGATCTCCTGATACCTGTTCTCCTTGGGCTTCAAATTCTGGGATAACTCCAGCTTGGATCTGGCTATTCTGGCTCCCTCTTTGACCCACTATGCCTGGCCATTCTTCACAACTTTTAAATGTTACCTGGTACTGGGTTGTGAATTTCTTGCCATCTAAAGTAGATGCATTTAACAGCAGGGTCTCCTAGGGTTGGGCAGCTAAGCTGTTTCCAATTTGTCACTATTATAAATAACACAGGGAGCCTGGCATGGTGGCTCATGTCTATAATCCTAGGGACTCTGGAGGCTGAGGCAGGAGGATTGCAGATTCAAGGCCACCCCTAGCCTCTTAGCAAGCCTTGTCTAAAAATATAATAAAAAGGGCACGGGTTGCAGTTCAGTGGTAAAGCGCTTGCTTAGCATGTGGAAAGCCCAAAAAAAAATCCAAAAAGAAAAAAAAATAGCACCATGGTAACCACCTTCGAACACAATGGTAATCACCTTGAACCACCTTGAAACACATTTCTCAAGGCAGAACTGTGAGTCAAAATTTTGGTTCTACATGTTTTTAACTTTGGATCCAAATCGCCCAGTTGCTGTCAAGAAAGGCTGTGCTGGCTCACTCTCCCAACAGCAGGATGTGACAGCTCTTGTGTCACCACACCCTTGAGAAAAATGACAATGCACATTTGTTATAAGTATGCTTCTTTTCTTTAATCTTTGCCAATTTGTCGGGGGGGGGGCGGGAAAACTCACACATGATTTTCATCTGCATGCCTTTGATGACGAGGGAGGCTGGGCATTTCTCTGAGTGTCTATTTATATTTCCTGAGTGTGCGCCCACATTGCCTGTTCATGCCATTTGCCCAGTTTTCAAATAAGGTGGGGTTTTCTTCGCAGTGTCTAGAGCTCTTTCACTATTGAATTTAAAAACATTTCTATGATACAAATATTTTGGCCCGTTTCTTATTCATGTGTTATTTCCATTCCTGATTTGCTTTTAAATCGCCACTTTACTTTTTCTCTGATGTTAAAATGCATTCCTTTAAATGCCCCCCCATCCCTCCCTCACTGGTCACTCAATTAAGAAGAGGAGACGGAGGATGGCTTTTGGAGGAAGTGCTAAGACAGCTTACACCCTGAAGTGTGGAAGCTGCTGGAGGCCAGATTAGATCAGAGGACACCCCCGACCACCCCGAAGAGCTTTCCCAAGTGCCCCTCAGCTGGGGTCCCCAAGAACTTAGTTCAACCAGGTGCAATGAAAGAACGCTTGTACCCTGCCCTCCCCATGGGGGATGGTCACACTTAAAGTACATTCGTCATTTCTTTGGTCTAACTCAGCTAGATAAAGGGGGGCAGGGTGCTGTTCAAGGACATGAAGTGACCCACCATGGAGCCAGCGAATGGAGGGCCCAGGACTAGGCCCCAGTTTTCTGGCTGCTGACCCACAGCCCCAGAGCAAAGTGTCAGATCACTGGAGGTCACAAGCAGGCCTGGACCACAGCCCAGAATCTAGATCTATCCTACAAAGCACAGAAATCTCAGGGCCTGGTACACCTGTCCAGGGCCAGGGATCTGGAAAAATCACCGGGTCTCACTTCCTTTGGCCGTTTATACTGAGCAAGGCCTTGGAGTGGCATCTTTTGGTTCTTTTTTGGAGGCTGATTTCATCCTGTGTCCTCCCCTATAAAGGAGGCTCCAGCTGTCCACTGAGGGGATCAATAGACTTCTGAGCCCCTCCTGGGGACTCTGAGTCCTTCCTGAGCTTCTAAGGGGAAGCCAGAGCTGGAATCTCACTTCTATATACACCTCACACCAACAAAAGGTTCATCCCAAACAACTGGTCACACAGAAGAGAGTTCTGAGGCCCGACTTCAAAAAGCAGGGCGTCCCCTCCTTCCCTCCTGCTTCTCGGAGCTGTCAGGGACTTCAAGTGACAATTGCCCATGCTCAGACTTCTGCAAAGTATTTTACAGCTTGTTTTCTTTTCTCTTTGTTTTATTTTCTCTACACAAATGGAAAAATGCATCAGGCGAAGCGGCTCACATCTGGATCCCTCTGCTCTACCCAGAGGTGTCACCCAATCCGCCCCCCGGCCTGTCCCAGCTCCTGCCTTGGAGAGATACCTTAATCCTTCGTGCCTTCCTGTTTATCTTCTGCTTCTCTCAGAGGCAAAAATATTGGGTATTAGTTTCATTATCAGATTTCAAGGCGGGAAGGAAAGGGCAAATTTGTAAGAACTGAGGTCAGCCTGGGAGAGAAGGGGGCAGGGGAAGCAGGGAAACTCCTGAGGACCAGCACAGGCCAGGACAGAGTCCTGCCTGGCCTGTGAGGCTCTGCCTCTTACCCAGGGGTCCCCCAGCTACCCAGAGAGACTCGCTTCCAGCTAGCACACGAGGATCATCAAAGATGTACCAGGTGTGGCTACACTTTAGACATAAGGCGTAAGGAGGGATAGGGTGGTGGGCGAGGGGGGCTTCCCAACTGCGTGCCAACCCTCTCTGACACAGAGAAGGGACCAAGGAATAGGGTCCTATAGTCCTCTCCCAGCAGAAGTTCCTCTAAGTCCTACTATAACACAAATCTATGACCAAGATTCCTTAAGCCTTTCTCAGTCTTCTTCTACAAAACTACAATTGCCCAGCTCCTCACTACCCCTCAGGTCAGTTCCATCCAACACATTTTTTCATGGCACTCTAGCTACATGCCACCCACTGCCGTGAGCTGTGTGGCAAACAGAGATGGATGACTCTCAACTGTCCTCGGGCTTCTCCCTGATAGGGGGAGGGCCAGAGAAGCCTCCTATCGGCACACTCTTTGATAAAGTGGGACAAATGTGCTTGTCAGCTGTGTTGGTTTGCTGAGGATAGGCATAGTGTTTGCTCTGACATCCACTAACACAAAGCAAGCCTGGATACATTTTTGT